CGGGCCCTGGCCGGACCCCTGCAGGTGTGTGGCCCGGCTGGCCCGCGCCCTGTGCTGGATGAGCGCGGCAGACCCGAGGGCCCGGGTAATGCTATTGTTAAGTCACTTAGTTCACACAGGTGGCTCACTGTGATGTTTTTGGATCCGGGATCCCAGGGATTTCAAAGCTCCCTTTTTGTCTTGTCTTGTTCCGGAAGGTGCACCCTCAGATAGGGATTATGCCAAAGAGGAGATGGGGCTGCTTCAGGGATGGGAGCCACTTGGAAATACATAGTACCTGACAGTCCACTTGGAGCAAGAGAGTACCCGCCTTTCTGTGACAGGAAATCCGACACTAGGAAATACAGCAGGAATTTGAAAGGTAGATGGCCAGTTAGAGGAAGTAGTACTTAAAGCAATCTCAGAAGCAGTCGTTTTCTTTATTAAAGGTGTCTTTTAGTCTTAAACTTAGCAGTTCCTAATTTCTCACATTCTAGGACAACTCGCATTTTATCTCCCCAGTTTCATAGTATAAATATTGTACAATGGTGGGGGGCGTTCCGGGGATCAAACTGCACTTGCGAGGCAGGTGCTGTGCCACTGAGCTAAAGCCCCAGCCATCCCATATTATTTTTCTTACCTATGGTGACAATCTACAAATGAGAATTTGGGCAGTAGGGAGGCACGCTTTAGACTTTCTCCATTCAACACGAGCGTTTCTCTTGTCTTTGATTTAGCAAGTTGAATTCCAAATAACTTTTGTCAGAATGTGCCTTGATGTGTAGGATGGTTTTTCCTGGCAAAAGTGACCAAGAAAATAGCTATCATTAAACAACAAAAAGGCACAATCGTTATATTCTAAAAGGCTATTTTGCAAGAAATAAGGAAATAATTAAAATATGAACGTATTGGGTTGGCTATTTAATTTTAAGTAATAAAAGTAACTAAATGTTTTCAGCTCTTTAAGTGATATAGTTCATTTTCAGTCTTTAAGCATAAGCCAGGTATTTGTGTTTCAGTGAGGTTTTTTTGTTTTTGCTGTTTTTATAACTGGTTGTGTGTGTGTGTGTGTGTGTGTGTGTGTGTGTGTGTGAAGCTTAGAAGCCGGTTGCTTCCTTGCTTGTTTATTCATGATCAATAAAAAAAAAATGCTGAATTTGGGGATTTATTTTTAAGTGACATTTTGAAACTATAGTTTAGGGGTTGAAATCTTGGCTGTCTGAGCCAGATAGCCTGCTTTCAAATCATAGGTCCACCAGGTGCTAACTGTTTGACTTAGGTATTTTACTTAATCTCTCTGTTTTAATTTCCTTATCTCTAAAATGATTATAATAATTCTTACCTCATAAGACTACTGTGAGGAATTTTTGGCTATTATGAATAAAGTTTATATATATATATATATAGAGAGAGAGAGAGAGAGAGAGAGAGAGAAGACTATTGTGAAGATTAAATGAATATTATAGTGTTTGAAATAGTTCCTGATACATCATTAGTAAGTAATACCTGTGAGCTTTATTATTATGATAATTAGATTTATTCAAGATATATCAAATATCCTTCAAGCACTGCAGAGTGAGACAGATAACTAAATTATACATAAAGAAAAATATAAGCCAATAGATATACCTAATTTCAACAGAGCACTTTGTTGACTTTTCTAGAAACCTCGATCTTGAAGATGGTGAGTAGCCAGCCAAAGTACGATCTAATACGGGAGGTAGGCCGAGGCAGTTACGGTGTTGTGTATGAAGCCATCATCAGAAAGACTTCTGCACGGGTTGCAGTGAAGAAAATTCGATGCCACGCACCTGAAAATGTAGAACTAGCCCTTCGTGAGTTTTGGGCACTAAGCAGTATCAAGAGCCAACATCCAAATGTGATTCATTTGGAAGAATGCATCCTACAAAAAGATGGGATGGTGCAAAAGATGTCCCACGGCTCTAATTCTTCCCTTTACTTACAGGTATGTGTCATTGGTTATGAAATACAGTGGAAATGATTTGGATAACATTTGTCTGCAAGAAAGAGAAATGAAAGGGTCAGATGAACTTTTCCCTTTAAATACAGATATTTTATAGATAAGAGTAGATAGGCCTGCCAAGTATAGATGTTTTAAAACAAGGTTTTATTTAAACTTGTGATGCATATACCTAAAAATATCATAAGCCACCTGTTACTCCATGGTACTTGCCAGTCAGCATAGGAATGAGGCAAGAGAGGAGCTAAAGTTCTTGAGACTAGAGTCTAAAAAGTTCACTTCTTTGCAATCAGTATTTTTGGAACTGAAGACAGAAGAAAAGGAAAAACCACAACCAATAGTAGCACCTATAGATACATCTTTTTTATAAATCACTAATTTAAACATAGCTTTTGCTGTTTTAGAGGGTTATGTGGTTTCTTACCCATTCATTCAATTTCAGTTAATTTTCATGAAGCATGTAGTTTAGTACTTGAATGTTTGCCAGTACCTAACATTTGGTTTCCTGCTTGATTCCATTCTCTGTGCTGAATGCTTTAGAGGCAGTTGCTCAAAATAGACCTAAGAGGAAAATACTATTATTGTCTCAATTTGAGACTTAGAATAATGAATTTATCCAGAGTCACCTGTCTAGCAATTGGCAGATTGGGAGCCAAACCTAAGACCATCTGACAGCTAAAGATTATGCTCCTTTCCAAATTACTCTTTTGTAGAATTGAGTAAGTTGGGTTGTTTGTTTGTTTGTTGAGATAGGGTCTCTGTGTAGTTCAAGCTGGCCTTGAACTCACTGTGTAGCCCAGGCTGGCCTTGAGTTTACAGTGACCCTCCTGCCTCAGCCTCCCAAGTGCAGGGATTATAGCCACCATACCTGTCTTGAATAAGTATTTTTCAAAGGTTCGCTTCTGCCTTCAATCAAAGTCTCTAGCTCTTCACACAGTAAAAAATATACTTATAGCATAGCTAGTGAAAGGGCACAGCAGAATTTAAGGCCAGTCATTTTTTGGAAAAGGAAATGGCTTTCCTTCAGTGTTTTTTGTTTTGTTTTTGGAACAGGGTCTCACTATGTAATTCAGGCTATCCTTGAACTCACTGTGTAGCCCAGGCTGACTTGAAATTTGAAGCAATCCTGCCTGGGCCTCCCAAGTCCTAAATTACAGGTGTGTGCCACCACACCCAGCCTCTATGAGTGTATCAAAATTCAGAAGTTGCCCTCAAATTTTCAAGCTTTTACCCTTTAAAGGACTGTTCAAAACAGTGGTAAACTTATGGCACACATAACTTAGTGAGCTATTAGTGGTCATTGAAAGCTCTAAAAGATTTGCCATCATTGGTTTAAAACACCAACATCTGCAGGGCATGGTGGCGCATGCCTGTAATCCTAGCACTCAGGAGGCTGAGGCAGGAGGACTGCTGTAAGTTTGAAGCCAGCCTGGGCTACATTGTGAGTTCAGGGGTAGCCTGAACTACAAAGTGAGACCCTGCATCACACAAACAAACAAACAAACAAAAAACCATGCACATCTATAATCCTACCATTCTGGAGTGTCACCACAAATTCAAGGCCAGCCTGAACTACATAGCAAGATCCTGTCTTAACCATAAATAGGGACAGGGATTTGGCTCACCAGCACTGCACCAGCCTGGTAAGTGCAAAGTCCTGAATTCTATTCCCAGTACCGGAAATAAAAATACATAAATAAAACAATAAACTAGGAATAACAAAGAAAAGCAGATTGATCTGCATAATTAGAAACCTGGACTTGACATTGTACAATAAGAGAAATTAATTGGTATTGCAGTTTTTCAGTTTAGCACCATATGCATTGAAGTCTCACTCACTTTTTTTGTGTGTGTGGTATCAGGGAGCACTAAGGTATATTACCAACCTTTTTTTTTTTTTCCCTTTATTTTGGGACAGGGTCTTCCTAAACTACCTAGGCTAATCTCAAATTTGTAATCCTGCTTCAGCCTCCTAAGTAGCTAGTATTAAAGGCATGTGCCACCATAACCAGATCCTCAGATTTTCTTTGTGTGTGTATATTACTGAGAATTGAATCCACAGCCTTCACACTGAGCTGTATCCCTGGTCCTTTTTATTTATTACCTCAAAAAACAGGGTCATGCTCAATTGCCCAGGCAGTACTCAAATTTATGACCCTCCTGTTTCAGCCTCCCAAGTGCTAGGATTATAGACATTCACCACTGCAGACATGTGGCTCCATACTTGCTCGTAAAAGTAGAGGAACCAGGGTCAGGGATTTGGCTCAGTGGTGCCACTGCCTGCCAGGGCCAGGATCCCGAGTTTGATCCCCGGTACCAAAAAAAAAAAAAAAATAGTAGAGGAACCAGCAGCTGCTCCATAGGCTGAAGCAGGAAGATGGCAAAATTCCAGTTCAGCCTAGGCTGGGCTTCAACTTGAGATCTTTCTGCCTCAGTCTTCCAGAGTGCTAGGATTATAAGTGTTTGTTTGCCAATGTGCCTAGCCTTTCAGAGTTTTAAGATGTAAAATACTACTGACTTGATTCAGTGATTTTTTTGTTTGTTTGTTTGTTTGGTTTTGTTTTTGTTTTTTGGAGACAGGATCCCTCTTTATAGCCCAGACTTGGCTAAAATGGTGATCCTCCTGCCTCAGCCTCCAGAGTACTGGGGTTACAGGCATGCACCACCATGCCCAGCATTCTAATTCAATGACTTTTTTTCCTAAATTACCTTTTTGTTTAGTAAACCTTTTCATTTTTTAATGCCTGATAGACCTGTATTGGACTTCTGGCACTCTTTGGTATTGGAAGACCTTGATGAATAACCCAGCTTTCCCCAGGATCTAGTTCTTCATAGGTAAATGATGGGTAATAATTTCTCCTTTCCACAGAAAGTGTGAAAATTAGAGATGAAGCAGAAACCATATTTGGCACATAGGATGTACTCATTAATAAGTACTTGCATTAAAATGGTCTTTTCTATGAATTCATTGGTCAGACACATTTAGCAAGTGCCTTCTCTAAATTCTTATAATTTAATAAAGACAGCCAATATTTATATCTAGTAAAAACAAATGTGTAGTAGCACCAGAGTCCCTGTGCATGGTCTTCTCCATCCTCCTTATAAAATTTGCAATTTTCTGTGTTTTTCCAGGTATGTTTTTCTTTATTCTCAGTGGGAATCATTAAATCCTTTCCTGGTAGTTAAAAACCTCAGTTAGGAGACAGTGTCAACAATAATTAAGAGAAGATATAATCTCATGTGTTAGAACTCAGTTTCCAATCCATATACTTATAAGGGTCATGGGTGAGAATTACAGGATGGTACAAGAGCACATAACAGGGAACTTGACATAATCCTGGAGTTCAGGAATTATGAGCTGTTTAAAACTTTAATTCAATAGGCATTAGCTAGATAAGTGACTGGCAGGCAGAAAGATCTTAAAGTAAGATATAAGATATTTTAAGAATTGAAAGAATAGTAAGCTAGCAGTTTGCAGAAAAGGCTCTTTTAGGTGAGGCTAGGAGAGTCCACAGGAATCATGGCACACAAAGTCTCATAGCCCATGTTAAAGAACTTGGACTATATCTAGCTAATATCCAAAGCTAATGTTCCCTACATAACAAAAACAAAGAAATTGGACACGGTACTTCTGTAGATCTAAACTAGAGACCCATGGCTATTTTCATGTGGTCTAGATACTTTTTTACTTTTGTTTTTGAGACAGAATCTTGCTATATAAAACAGGCTAGCCCTGAACTCAACTATATAGCCCAGGTTGGCCTTGATCTTGGAATCCTCCTGCCTCAGGCTTCCAAGTACCGGGACTACAGGTTTGTGCCCCCATACCTGAAAAGTTTTGGTTCTTTTGTTTTTTGGTACCAGGCATTGAACTCAGGTCCTTGTGCTTGTGAGGCAGGCAGTGGAACCACTAAGGTAAATCCCTGGCCCCAAGATTTTTTTTTTAAGGAAAGAAAGGAAATTGAAACCTTATATGGCTTATCAAGCCTAAAATATTTGTCTGGCCTTTCTCTAAAATATTATTTAAATATTAATTTGGTCTCTGTATTGCTCAAAGCTATTTAGGAAGTTTGCTTTTGAAGGTAAAGCATGATTAATAACAGTGCAGTGGTAAATATTTGTGTGATCTGTACCTTTCTGTTCTTTTATTTTCTCTCTTCTCACTTGCACCACCCATGCAACAAGGAAAACACATGCAAAAGAAATATCTGCAGGTCACTGTAATTGCTGTGGTTTGCCATGAGGGGAGATGGCATAAGGGGTATTCTTTGCTTCTGCCTCTAAAAAAGACAAAAGGGAAGTACCAGTAAATTGAATGTAATCAGTTCACTCACTCTTTGACAACTCTTTGATTTTCTCCATTCAACCCCTAAATCTAAAAAGTATTTCATACAACAAATGTTTTTAAAGTACTAAGCATCATATGTTAGGATTTTTAAAAAGAAACAATAGGGGCTGGGGATTTAGCTCAGTGGTTCCGGCGACTGCTTCACAAGTGCAAGGACCTGAATTCAATCCCCAGTACAACAAAAAAAAAAAAAGAAAAAGAAAAAGAAACAATGAACTACATGATGACTAGAGTTCAGCTGATTGACAGATGCTGAAGATGTAGGCAAGTTGAACATTTAATTATTTTTTTTAATTTTAGTTTTTGAGACAGAGTCTCACTGTGCAGTTGAGGCTGGCCTTGAATTTGCAGTAATCCTCCTGCCTCAACCTCTTGAGCACTGGGATTACAGGCATGTGCCACCACACCTAATTAGACATTTTTAAAATCTCTTTTTAAAGTTTTACCTCTTAACTGGGAGATTGGGTATATATTCATTAGGAATAAAATGCCAGTTTGAAGTACTAAAGTTTAAAATGCACATATGGTGGGGTGTAATCTCAGCTCTTGGGAAACTGAGGCAGAAGAATCGCCATGAGTTCAAGACCAGCCTGAGTTACCTTATGAGTTCAAGACCAGTCTGAACTACATAGTGAGACCCTATCTCAAAAAAAAAAAAAAAAAAAAAAAA